GCACTTTCAATATTTATATAAAATTATATATTAAAAATTATTTCAATGTTTGGCATCGTGACACCCATCTAAAATAGTGTCATAGCGTTGCATGTGAATGAACCATGTGCCGCAGCACCACCTCAGCACTGCTACACCTAAGTTTTTTGCAAAATTCCAGAGATCTTAGCACCGCGGCGGCATTTTCTTAGCGCTTTCCAGTGATAAAGCGCTCTAGCTCGAAATTTCAGATTTTAAATGAAATTTATTTTATAGCATTTTGGGTTATAACATGATATGTATCAAACTCATAACAATTGATAGGTGTTAATGTGCAATGGTGATTATAGCTAACATATCAAAACTTATATGTTCGAGAAAGGATGGTTTACTTATATTGTTTAGCATACATAAGCAACTCAAACATAAGTAATTTTAGTGAGAGAAATTGGGTTACTGAACTGGAATTGAACAAGGATGAATTTGACATACTAGTTTCATGAAGTAAATATGGATTGACTGCACAATTGATTTTGATGTATACTCAACATGGTATGACACAAACAATGAGATGTTACATATTTTCTTAGCAATTGGAGGCAAGCAAAGCAAGTAGGTAACATGAATATATTCAGGGATTGAGTGATCAAATCTAGGTGGAGAAGTCGGGGAAAATCAAAAAGTAATAGTAAAAGCAGTCAAGAGAAATCAGAGAAAGGGCAACTATAGTTATCACATCATCATTGCTAGGAGAAATTATTCTATGCGAACACCGGACACAGCTAACGTCCGGAGCCCAATGAAAATGTGTCATGTCACCCAGTATCGAGCGGTATCGAGCAGCATCGAGCCATGGTATCGAGTACCGGGTGATGTGACGTATTTTCATTGGGCTCCAGACAACGTTCAACCTCCGCACAGAATAATTTCTCCATTGCTAGGGTCTGATTACAGTATTAGCACCCTTGAGGCATAGAGATATATGAATGAAAATAAATTATATAAGATCACAATTGTGAGACTAAAATCCTCTTTTCAACCACACGTATAATCATAATAATCATCACAAAAAAAAAAAAAAGTCACACTCCTAAATATAAACTCATCACAATCCAAAAATAAGACTCTACTTAATGATAAGCGGCCGATAACAACCGACTGTCTCAAAAAAAATCACGAAAAATTACAATCTTCCATTGAATCCACCTCAATAAGAAAGCAAAGCCACCATAACCTAATCAATTCAAAGATAGTTATAATTAGGAGGTGACCATTCCATTTCCATCCATTGCCAACACCTATCAGCTATCATGTCATGCTCTTGTGGTGTGTTGGTCTTCTTACCTTCCTCCACCATAATGAAAATCTTCAACATTTTAAATTTATTTAATTATCCAAATACTACAATTTATGGTATTAATTATTCAGTTAAAAAACCAAAAACAAATTCTCTTGTCCATACTGCTCCCTTCGTCACTGCACACAGCATACAGCAAGCCGGCATGATTACCTCCTTTCACACGTTAATTAGGAGAAGATTACTCTTAATTAATAATTAGCCAGCAAATTTTGCGTTTAAGAATAATTAATAGAAATTTTGAGACGTTGTGGGTCCGTTACGGCAGCTAATTAACCGCCTAACACGAACGCTTAAACGGTTAACGAGTTGGGAATTGGGATTTTGTTCCTTAATTAAAAAGTCAGCAGAAATAAAGTCATAATTATTAATTAATTAAAAAATATGTTTATGTTCTTAAGGAGGAACGATGAGGCGGAACGCGAATTGTAAATGTATAGATAATATTTGAATAAATCAATAATTTTAGTGTAATTGTTTCTGTTATGATTTGTTATTTGGTAGTGTAATTTTTATTAAACATCATTGATATGCTTTGAAGGAAGTTTAATTTGATCAGCACGAATCTTGATGCAATATTTAAAAACTTTTAGAATTAAATTTTAAATCATCTGAAAAAAAGACTTCAGTCAACTCATCGTCAAATAAGCCTAAATCTCAAACACTTAACAAAAAAAGCCTTTGAGAGGTTAACCGAAGGACTTGAGGATATCTAAATCTTGCATGCTTATTGATATATCATCAAAAATTTATCTTGATTGGGCACAAATCTCAAGGCAAAATCAAGTTGAAAATTTCAAAATTAAGTATGAGATCATCCGAACTCTGATTTCAGCAAACTTACAGTCCAACTGAACTTCTCGAAAATACGAACCCAACGACAACAAGTTTGACTCAATTCCAGCCCAAATGGGTCCAAACCAAAAACCCAAAGCGCATTCGGAAAGTTCAAATCATAATTTGGATAGTCAAACAATTTCCAAACGAGATATGCTTATATATGAATCGAGCGGTTCGACGAGATGAATCCAACAAGCCCAAGATCATCGTATTCTGATATCATTAAGAGATTCAAATGCCAGTAAACGGTCCACAATCAAAGGGATAAACATCAGTTGTCCATTCAAACCACTCCCAATATACCCTTGATGTCCCTCATATTTACTGACCATGCCACTCTTAAAAAATTATAAATATATCCTTCATTCTTCATTGAGAGGGAACCAAGCATGAAAGAAAAAGAATAGATGAGAGGAAGAGAGATTTGAGATCTCTATTTCCACCAAATTTCTCATCGACCACTGCCCAACAATCGATTGTTGTCGAACTTTGTTCGGACTTCCGCCCAGCCACTAATTATCACCATACTTATACCCGACCACCGATTGTTATTGGATTTCCTCCAAACCACCATCGTCGATAACGATCCTTCTAACCTCCGTCTCAAGACTATGATCTTTTCGATCTCCTTCGACTACCGACAATAACCCTTCCGAACATTCCTCAACAAATAATAGTCCTTCTAACCCTGTCGCCTGTCAAATACTGTCATTTCAACCTCTGTTGGCAGATAACGATCCTTCTGAACTCCGTCTCCTATCGACTACATTCCTTCTGAAATCCATCACCATACTACGGTGGAAAAACAAGATTACAGTATTTCCGACCTCTGTCGCCCGCCGACCACAGTCCTTCCAAATTTCATCGCCAGACTACGGTCTTTCTGACCTTCGTCGCTCGCCGACTATGACCCTAATAACCAAACAAACATGTTAATACTTATTCTTTTAATTACCACCTTGTAATGCATTCTATATGATGCATATTTGCTATATCAAGCTAAGGTCTTCCCCCAAAGGAATGGTCTCATTTGTAATAGACTGCAAACACTAGTGGATTCATTCAAACTAGGGCATGCCTTGTGATTTTTCTCCCTTTTAGGGGTTTTCATGTAAAAATTGTGGTGTATGTTATAAATGCTCCACCCTCTCTTTTATCTGATTGTGTATTTGATCTTCATACAAAATAAGACATTAAACTTTATATTTATCTATCACCACAAAATATTCCAAGTGCAACACTTATAATAAAAATGAGCGACTTCATGAGATGAATCCAAGGCATGCTTATAATAATAAAAAAGAGCGACTTAATAATATACCTACTATTTAAAGATACCTTAAAAAGAACATGAATGTTCAGTAAATGATCTATAACAAAAAGTTTCGATATAAGTCATTATTTGGAGAGTTATGAAACTTTAGATAAAATTATCGATAAACCTATCGTACAATTATTATAAATAGACGATCAACTTCACATGAAGCGGACTTAGATTTAAAGATGAAAAAATCATGAATATCTAAATAACTCTAGAGCTCTGTATAATATTATACGGTGAAGACCACCGATAGCCATCAGCATCAAATGGTGACCATCATCCTAATGTTGTTGCTTGAATATCAATGTCTATCAGCCATTGTTGTCCTTGATTATCAATCATCATTGGACTGTCATTGTGTAACCACATCTGTCTGACTGTCATAACATCATCAGACCAACATCTACCAATCACTATTACATGATTTCTATCTAACCAATGTCACTAAACTAATACCATTAAACTACTACATCTCTAATATTCTCTAACATTTATATAATTATAAATCTTTGTTGCATATTTTGTAATTTAATCTTCTCCAATTGAAAAAAAAAACCGACTTTTATAATAACCCCTATATTTTTTTCTCTTTTCAAAATTTTTACATAAAATTATGATCTGTTATATTATTTTTTTATATGTATATTGGATTTTCTTGAATGTTAAGATGTTATTGAGATAAATTTTCTGATACCGAATAATTATAAATTTTAAAAAGCATAATATTCATTTTTTTAAAGGAAATATTTGAGAAATGTAAATAAAATGGATCCCAACTAATTTGAATTCGATTCTTTTTTTTTTTATAACAATAGCGATAGAATTTTTAAAAAAAAAAAAAAAAAAACTTAACTTTATTTATTTATATTTTGCATCCCCACACGAGTTTTAAAAACAGGTTAGGAGCGCGAATGGTTGAGGGTGCCGTTTGGGTGAACAACACGGGGTATACACGAGGAATATAAGGGAAGGTGGGCCCAGGCCGGCGGAAACTCGGCGGGGCCCACCTCACAGCAGAGAACATTCGTTTATGTGGCTGCACACGTGTCAGCCGGAGAGTGCTTCAGCATTCCCCCTTACCTGAGCCGGGCAAGGCAGGTAGGGGGTCGTTGGATGGTTGGGTTCTCTAACTATTTCACCCTTCCAGTTGCACACCACTTTTCGTACTGTTTTATTCCCATAATGCCCTCACACTTTTCTACATTCCCAACTGTACCCATGAATATTTCTCGGGTTTCCGCCTTAGTTTCTCCAGTGGCCCAGGGGGCAATTTCGTCTGTCGGTAGTGCTCATTTTGGAAAAAGAGAAGAAGGGTGAGAAAATTCTAGTGGCGGGGAGCAGCCGACGTCGGCCCTTTACAAATTTTGAATTGGGTGACCGACATGTGGCGGTTCCTTCGCTGTAACTCTACAGGTAGAACCGGTTGCCCGTGTAGAAAGCGTCTTTAAAGGTCTCACCCGTCGGCCTTATTATATTCATTTATTGCCAATAATATTGTTATATATGAATAATTATTTAATCAAAGAAATAGGAAGGAAGGCTGAGATATATGCGTATATAAGAGGGAGATGGAATTGGTGCGCTTTTATTAGAGGAATCGAGTTACAGGGAAAGCTGGCGCTACCGTTCAGTCGATTTTGTGTGGTTTTCTGTTAGATTCCTGCCGCCGTCGCCGGAAACTGAGGCCGGAGATTGAAGCCAGCACCGCCGCCGAATGGCTTCGGGGTTCCCGGGTCGTGATCTACGGGGAGGGTTTGGTTTTGGGGCTGGATCGGCTGTGCAGATGCAGTACCAGCAGCGATCTGACGGTGGAGCGGCTATCGGAGCCGCAGGGCTCTTGAAGAGGTCGCTGACGGAGATGGAGAGGCAGCAGCAGATGCAGCACGCGATCTATCTCCGGTCTGTGAAGCAGAAGACCCATTTCGCCTTGCCTTCGCCGGTCTCTCATATTTCTGCCGCGGATCTCTCTGCTGCTTCGACAACCACGACATCTTCGATTCTTTCGTCTCTTTCCTCTGCGTCTGCTTCGATCCCGTTTGTGGGGCAGGGAATTCCTAATTCCACCACTTGGTCGTTTCAGGCGACGTTTGCAGATGCTGAGATAGATTCTGAGAAGAAATCGAGTATGACGACCAGGCTTTTGGAGTTGGAACGGCAGCTGCTCGATGACGAGGAGGAGGAGTTGAGCATATCTGGTTCTGCGGTCACGAGTAACGAGTGGAGCGAAACGATGGAGAAGCTCATGTCTCCACCGCCTCCTCCTCCGCCGATTGCGGCTGTAGTGAATCTGCACCCACCTTCCCCTTCTCCGACCACCTCTTCTACCTCCTCTTCTGGATCATCTTCCTCCTGTACGCCCTCATCGGCCACGCCGTCGAGGCAGATGCTTCTGGACACAGCCACAGCCATCACAGAAGGGAATCAGGAAACCGCAACGGCGAATCTTGCCGTTTTGAAACGGACGGCGAATCCCCGCGGCGACCCGGAGCAGCGACTCACGGCGATGATGGTCGCTGCCCTCGTGTCCCGCATCAACCCACCGGCACCTGGAAGTTCTCACCCGGTAGCTGATGTCTGCAGCGCAGAACACCAGGCAGCCTCTCACTTGCTCTACGAAGCCTCTCCCTGCTTCAAACTAGGCCTCATGGCGGCGAATCTCGCCATTCTAGAAGCTACCAAAGACAATCCCAAGATCCACATCCTCGATTTCGACATAGGACAGGGGAGCCAGCTCGCTTCCCTCATTCACGCGTTCTCCGAACGCCATCGTCAGCGATCACCCGCACTACCGCCGCCATGTATAAAGATCACCTCCGTCTGTCCTCTTCAGGGCAACGACACCAACAATCTAAGAATCGTCGGTGACCGTCTCGCAAAACTAGCTGAAAGCCGAGGTGTTGGACTCCGCTTCAACATCGTGAACAGCAGAACTCAAGAACTCAACCAGACGACTCTGCTCTGCGAGCCAGGCGAAGCCCTCGCAGTAAACTTCGCCTTCTTCCTCTCCCGAGTCGCCGACGAAAGCGTCTCGACGGCGAACCCCCGCGACGAGCTTCTCCGCCGGGTAAAATCCCTCTCCCCGCGTGTCGTAACCCTTGTAGAGCAGGAGATGAACGGCAACACAGCTCCCTTCGCCACGCGTTTCACTGAAGCCTGCGCGCACTTCGGCGCCCTGCTCGAGTCCCTCGACGCCACTGCGACCCGGGAAAGCACCGAACGGGCCCGCGTCGAAGCCTGCCTCGCCCGGAAAGCGGCCAACTCCATCGCCCGGGAGGGCGCCGACCGTGTTGAACGCTGCGAGCTATACGGCAAATGGAGAGCTCGTATGGGAATGGCAGGCCTGAACCCGGTTCCCCTCGGTTCGATTGTATCCGAACCGGTCAAGCTTCGGCTCTCCTCTCTCCGAAACAATCCCGGCTTTACAATCAAAGAGGAGGCCGCATGGGTCGGCTGCGGTTGGATGGGCCGCGTTCTCACCGTCGCCTCCGCGTGGCGTTAGGCGGATGTCCCTAATCAGCAAGTAATCATCTTATCATCATCACAAGAACAGGTGCTCCAAATTTTTATCTTTCTTTTTTATCAATAGAGAGGTAATTAATTAATTAATTATCTGAACGTTAGTTTCTTTTATAATTATTTGACATTCATGGCCGAGAAGATATTCTGCCAATTAAATGTTTCTGTATTGTGCTATAATGATGTTTATGTTGAATTAGTGCTGAAATAATTTGTGAAGCTGTGAATAATCTCTTATGGGAAAGTGATTATGGTTTTGCTTGCTTTGGGCGCATAAAGAAAGGTTGCATTCTTGTACACGAAAGAGAAGGCCGGCTGCGTGCACTGTCTCTACTCTCTAGTAATATGTGAATGGTCTTAGCAAGATATTATTTATTATTATAATTTTATAATATCCACGTGTCATATGAGGAGTGGGTTTCTTCCAGCTTTGAGGCTACAGCTGGGCTTATAGCATAGGTTTTTTTTTTTTTCTTCCTTCAGTTTGTTGATGGATGGGCTTAGGAGTCTAAGCTGATTTGTGGGAGTTGACTAATATAAAAAAAATATATATTAATATTAAATATATTTAAATTCTATTACAATTCAATATTTTGAGTTCAAAGTTGTTGAATAATATTTAATACTTGCACTATTTTTTCTAATTTTTTTATTTATATGAAAATTTGTGTGAATTAAATTGTGAACTCAATTTAGAATTCTTGGTCTCTTGGTGGGTAAGCTTAGGCTATTTTGAGTCAGTATTCTTATTTGGTAAATCAATCAACCTCAAATGAGAGATGATTCAAGCAAACCCTAATTGTATTCTTGGAAGAATAAATGAAAAGGGCAACTTAGGATTTATTTTGTATAGCTTTCTACATGTTTTATTTTTATATAATAATCATAAATTTTTGGTATATTTTTCTTGCTGCTTTTTCATTAATGTTTAGAAATTTGTGCGGTTGGAAGTTGTTTTCTCTAATGCACCTTCACAATAAATTTTCTAAAGCTTTGCGGATGTCCGAAACAATTTATTTAGGCTGGTCATTTGGATTAATTATTCTGTGCGGACGTTAAAAGCCGTTCAGAGACCAATCAGAATGCGCCACGTCACCCCTTCGCTCAGTACCCCGGCTTGGTACCGCTGATTGATGCATTCTGATTGGTCTCCAGACGGCATTCTGCATCCGGTCTCTGGACAGTTTGCCTTGATTTCCTTTTTGGGCAACTATTTCATTTTATTTGATTAGTGCATATAGGAGGAGAGGTGGAGAGAAGGCCCATAACTCCTCTGCTCAAATTGGTGTGGAATTCTCCATAATTGGTGATGCAAACGGATGGATGCGTAGTAAATGGTTCCATGTTTGCACGTGAAAGAGAAGGATTGCTAAGAGCCTAAGACATTTGGGACTTTGGTAATGCTTTTGCTTTGTGTTTTGCGTTGCCAGCTATTACTGTGTTGTGAAATGAAATATTAAATAAGTAAGCTGTCATAATTTTTAATTGGTCTTATATCGTTTGATTATCAACATTATGTGCTTAGCTGATATTATTAATTGCATAACTAATTGATAATTGATTAGGTAAAAATTCGTTCAAGATAAGGACCTTTCCAATATAAAATTCAGTAATCCAAAAAATCTTTTTGCATGGGGATTTATCCTGATCGACGGATTGAACTGGGAGACCTTGGCCTTTATTTGATTTGTTTTTTAAGCAATTTTATTTTGCTTTCTTGTTTTTCATTCTTCCTTGCCTTGAAGTTCAGCTGCTAAGGCACCAAAGTTTGGCGAATTATTCCGTCCGGTGACCGGATGTCCAGACACCCAATCCAAACGCGCCACGGCAACCAAATACATTGGGTCCCGGTGTATTTTGGTGACGTGACGCATCTGGATTGGTGTCCGGACGAATCCGGACACCGGACTTAATAATTTGCCCCAAAGTTTCTGTCTTAGCAGTTTTTTAAGGAAGGTAATACAAAATTTTTCATTCAACGTTCAGATTTGTATTCTTTTCAACAGAAAGTACGTTGAGCTGTGAACTTTGATTTTATTTGGTACAACTTTTGACTGCTGTTTTCAAAAAGTTTTTTACTAGAAAATGGTAAAAAAAATGTCTCAAATGAAGCCTTAAGCTTTGTTTGGGATGGTTTTTTACTGCTTCTTAAAGCAGTTTTTTATTATAAAAATTTTAATTTTTATAATAAAAATCTTGTTTAAGAAGCGATAAGTAAGCCGTCTCAAACAAAGCCTTGGGACGACTTTCTGGTTGCTTCGTAAGTAGCAATAAGAAAGCCGTCCCAAATGAAGCCTTAGTTTTTGTTTGAAATAGCCGTAAAGTTGCTATAGGTAAAGTAATTTTTTGAAGTTGTTGCAGAAAATAGCTTTTTAATACAAAAATTTTGTGAAATCAACAAAAAAAAGTAACGACTAAACAAAAATTATAGTTGCAATTTGAAACATAATCAGTAAGAAAGCCTTAACAAAGTTTTCTTAAAAAAAAATGAAGAAGAATTCTCAATGAATTAATTCCTTATATCATTTATTTTAATCTAAGTTGTATTTACATTGGAAGGTTGGAGTGATCTTGAGGACCAAGCCAGATTATACTTCAGCAGGATCAGGTCTTTGTCGCTTCCGTTTACACTGTAGCTATTTTGAACAACATAAAGCTTAGGGCTGTCAAATTCGGGCCGCGGGTCGGGTTCGGGTCCAACCCAAAATTAAGCTGACACTGTTCAACCCGACCCGTTTTTGCAAACGGGTTGGTTTTCCTAACCCGAACCCGACCCGCTTCGGGTCCGGGTCAACCCGAACCCGACCCGATTCGGGTATATTTTATTAAATTTTTTATTTAATTCAATTTATTTAAATTTAAATCAAATTAAAGTAAAATTTACTTCAATTAATTTAAAATAAACCAAGATTAATTTAATTTGGGCAATAATGTTAATAATTTTTTGAAATATCATTTATTTATTTCATAAAAAATCCATTAAAACCCTCCTAAATTAATTAAAAACGGGTCAAACAAGATTAATTTCGGGGTTCCGGGTCAACCCAAAGCAAACCCGATTTTACAAACGGGTCAAAATCCCTAACCCGATCCCGACCCGGTTCTGGTTCGGGTTGACCCGAACCCGAAATTTTCGGGTCGGGTCAAATATTGACACCCCTACTAAAGCTGTGATAAATTAAGGACTTTTGACATCACTTTCTTTTTAATAAATCAATTACTTTATTTTTAAAACATGAACCCTTAGATATTTGAATCACGCACCACATCATCGATTACTATTGCCTTATTGGTTATAGTCGCGCCCACGTTGGACTCTTGCCCCTTCATCATCATTGCTATCACTGCATCTGCTTCCTCGCAAGCTATAATCGCTCTACTAGTTGTCATCACCACATCGATTACTATTGCCTTCTCGCTATTGCCACTGCCCCAACATTCTTGTCGTCAACGCCAATGTTACCGTAATCACCACCGCAACTACTACTGCAATATAAATCAATTACGCTATATTAAATAAAAAATCTTATATTTAGGTTACCAATCATATTAATATTTCAAATCGGAATATAAACAAAGATAAAAAAATTTATGTGCCTCAAAATAGCAACTAAATTTAAAAATGACAAAATTAAGGCCTTATTTGGTGTTATTTTTACTTTTAATATGTGGAGAAAATATGCTTCATTAATATAGAATATAAAATATTTTGATTTCACAACAAAATATTTAAAATAAAAAAAATTAAAATCTCAAAAGGCCAATGAACAATTTAAGAATATCTCAAAATATTCAGTTCTTCAATTCCAAAATACAGCCCTGTTTGGAAACATGAGAGAGAGAGAGAGAGAGAGAGAGAGAGAGAGAGAGAGAGAGACGTACAGGCTTAGAGAAGATAAATTATAGATATAAATTAGGCAAGAGGAAACGAGTGGACCAACAGAAAATCTATGTACTCAGATATTGGGAAGGATTTTATTCAATTAATATTATTATTAGGTTGTACTTTGGATGCGGAAAGATTACGTTTCCTGTTCGACCCCAAAGTCGGCTCTTCATTATTCCTTATAATTGGGGGCAAATTATTGGGTCAGGTGACCGGAGCCAAAAGATAAGTTCGGACAGCCAATAAAAATTTGCCGCGTCACCTTGCGCTTTAGTTGCGCTTTTTGACTTGCGCTTTAGTTGCGCTTTGGTTGCGCTTTAGTTGCGCTTTTTGACTTGCGCTTTGGTTGCGCTTTGGTTGCGCTTTAGTTGCGCTTTAGTTGCGCTAATTTTAAAATAATATTTTATTATTATCCGAACCTATCTCTGCGTTCGGTCACCTGACCCAATAATTTGCCATAATTGGGGGTGTCAATTTTTGACATAACTCGAAACACGATTCAAAAAAATTCGGATTTGGGTAACAAATCAACCCGTTTTAAAAATCGGGTTGGGTTGACCCAACAATTCGGAATTGATCCGAAATTGACACGAAAACTCATATGTGACCTGAAAACCCCAGATTGACCCGGCAATCGAAGATTGACCGATTTTTGACCCATAAAACTAGCAATTTTGGGTCAACCCCGGGTCATTCGTGTCTGGTTGGGTTGACCCGAACCCGAATCGGGTCGGGTTCGGGTCCGAAAACCTGACCCGTTTTTAAAAACGGGTCGAGTTCGGGTTGACCCGAATAGTGTCGGGTCAGTTCCGAGTTCGACCCGTTGACCCGAATTGACACCCCTACTTATAATTTTCAAATTAATATATATGTAATTTATTGATATTTATTCATTTTCTTTAAAGAATTTTTTGAAGAGATTTAAATTCAAGATCTCTTAATTGATAGTCAAAGTTATCAACCAGCAGATCAGTATGAACTGCTTATTTCTAAACTTCAACTCTTTAGAGAAAAAATTCTCTTAGGCTTAGGGGAGTTAATACAATATCATTAACACATTTAACACGTAGAACAATCATAGTAGCTATAATATGAGGAAAATAATGGGTTATCCTTATATGAATTAAATTAATAAGCTTATTATCATAATATTATCTTTTTTAAATCAAAAAGTAATTGAAAAGAAGGAGAATTTTTGTATTAATATTATCATGAACTTTGTATGTAATTTATATTAAATTCATTGATGATGACACGAAAATCATATAATTGGCACTTCTTAAGTTTTTGATAATATATGGTGGTTATAAATGGATTAGAGTTGCATTATTATGTAACTTCAATCAAAATGAAATGCAGGTTAAGTTCAATGTAA